AAGCTGAGCCACAGAGAGGCTAATTCATAAGAGATAGAGAAGGAATGCAAACCCACCATACTGCCTGGTGGGGATGGTGACAGGAGGGTGGGAGGAGCTTGGGTAATGGGTAGGGGAGACACAAGCGTCAGTTTTCCGGCTGTTGGTGCTGGAGTGCTTGGTGGAAAAGCTTAGACCGGCCGGGCCGAGGCGAGGGGCTGTGTGGTCTCTAAGGGGCCTCCCCCTGCTGTCCGCCCCTTCTCCCAGGCCTTCCAGGGGGAGCTTACGATCCACGTCTTCCTCCACAGAGGAGTGCCTTGTCCTGGTCCCTGCCCCCACCAGCCCCTTGTTTCCCTCCTCCATGGTGAGCCGTGCTCTCTCATTGACTGCAGCCTACTGACCTGTCTGTGAGAGTTGCTGGGGGTGGGCTGTGCCCCCCCCCGAAAGCCTCCCAATCTGCCCAGTCTAAAGGACGTTCTCCTCCACCCAGCATCCTCCGACCAAGCCAGGCATGTTGGATTCTGGGTCCCTAAGCCTGGAGTAGGGGGAGGGGTAAGGGAGAGTCTTCAGACCTTGTCAGTCTCCCCAGCCCCTCCCAATTCCACAGCTCTGAGGTCCCCCCCTCATGACCCCCGAACCCCATACTACAAACATTGCCTTACGCCCAGCCCCCAGGGTCACCTCCCCTAGCCCTACTGACAGCGGTTCTAGGTACTTTCACCCAAAGCATTTTTAATGCAAACATTTTGCTGCATAACTGATTGGCCATGAGGCAGTTTCACCGTGAAAGATAAAAAAAAAACTGGTTGACAGTTTGGTTTGACAGTTTGGTTTGACAGTTTGGTTTCAACCGGTTGAGATGCATGAGGGTCTCTTCCAGTTAGCGACATTACTGATGGCTTTATCAAGCTGACAGAAGATGACGATTTGCTCCAAGAATTGGTTTTGTATTTTCAAACACACTACACTGGAGGAGAAAGAAAACAAGGGCCTTGAAGGCACAGAGTTGCTCCCGGGTTTCCCACAGAATTTTGGAAAGTCTATCAAAGAACATGGGACAATGTGCCCAGAACACACAACGGAGTGGACGCTTTCACAACACAAAGTTCAGTTACAGGCACGCATCCTGGTGTTTGGAAACTGACACCTCTCTTAATAAAGGAAGAAATTTTAGCAAAAAAGAAAAAGTTTGATGCCAGATGAGGAGACAAATCAACAAGAAAAAAATGAATAAAATATTATGAACAAAAGACTTGGAAGACAAGCGCTTCCTGCTTCAAGTACAACCTACAAAATAAAATCAGTCCTTCGCACTGAATTGCTGTGAATCTACACACATCTTAAATTCAAATATTTTGTATTTCGAAATGAAGTGTTTTTAATTTAGTTATTCATTTCTCCCGTTCCATGATGTCCTTTTTAATGCCCCTATTTTATTTTTTATTATTTTATCTTTTTCGGCATAATTGCCTACGGCCAATAAGTTATGCAGCAAAAACGTTTATGGCAAAGACACTTCCAGTGAAAAGTGGACAAGGCTCCCAGTGGGCTGTGGGCAGAGAGGCCATGTCAGGACGAGCCTGCCTGCTCCCTCCCGCCCCCCGCACCCCCGACTCCTCACTGGGGCAGAGGGGGCAAGGGCCTGGGGAACCCACCTGGTGTGCAGCGAGCGGACACCCAGGCACCTTCCTCACAGCCCTGCCCACCATAGGGTTGCTTCTGGGGGAGCCATACCAGACAGGAGAGAGCAGCCTGAGTCCCCAAACAGACGTGGGGTGGGGAGGGCCAGCCCGGCCTGCAGAGGCACTGATGGATGAGAGGGGGTCTCTTGGGTGCCTGAACCCCTTGCAGCGGCCTCCCCTCCCCACCCCCGGGCCACTATCAGCCGTCTCCCCTCCTGGCTCTCACAGTGCTGCAGGGTGAGGTCACTGCTGAGAACGTGGCGAATGAGAGTCAGCCTGTGCGCCAGGCACTGAACCCCGCCTGTCCCCACACCCCGAGGGTGGGTGAGAGGAGATGGGGTCAAGGCAGACTCAGGGGGCTGCGGCCCACTGTAGGACCCACCATGCCCTGGCACCCATCCCAAGATGGGTCCTGGTGCCCACACCCCTCCTCCCCCCACCCCCTGCCTGTGGCCCCAGCCCTCCCAACTGGCTTTTCCTGTTCCTGGCTTTGTGTGCTGAAAGTTCCCCAATTATACCCATATTATCTCAGCTGCTGGGCGGCCTCCAGCAGGCTTGGTGAGTAGAGGCTGGTGGGGAGGGAGGGAGCACCCACATATCCTGCTGGGAGGCCTAGGGTCTAGTGCTTGCCAGCTGGCCAGTCAGCAGGAGTACTGGGCGGACTGGCCCACTGACTTCACCGTGGGACTGTCTCTGGGGTGGGGCCCCAGCTGGGCTGGGCTGCAGTTCAGGGAATCAGACAGTTAGGGCCAGGAGGGACCTTTGAGACTGGGGAGTCCAGCCTACTGTTTTACAGGGGAAGACAGTAGGGCTCAGGAAGGGGAAGTGACCAGCTAAGGTGCCAAGATGAACTCAAGACAGAGCCGGGCTAGAACCTCCCCCCAGCCCCATGTCTCCCTGCTGGGTGCCTCCTCCATGGTTCTTCTACCAGCCCACAGTGTTCTCTGCCGAGGACACATCAGAACCCCACAGACCAGCCAAAGGGACAGCAGGAGGGGTGGGGTGGGGTTACCCCAGGTGGGAGGGCTGTGTGGATGTGAATAGGCGTAGAGGAGGAGGGAGCATCAGGGAAGGTTTCCGAGCAAAGCGAGGGCCTGGCTTGGAGGACCAAAGATATATTTTTACAGCAAGCATTTCTTGAGTGCCTACTGTGTGCCAAACACAGGGGATACTGCAGTGACCTGGAGAGACCCGGCCTATACCTTTTGAGGGGAGGAGTGGAGGGCAGCACACTTCACTGATCTTGGTCTTTGGTGCCTTCAGAGGAGTCTGCCTGCTCCCATCCCATCACACAGAGGGAAGTGTGAGCCCCGAGTCTCCACTCCCTTGGGGGTACCATTCAGGCCATCCCCCTGCCTCTGGGTCAGTCCACGACCTGGCATTGATTTTATTGATGGTGTCCAACAAATGAACTGAGTGAAGTAAGTTTTCAAGGAATGGCCGAGGACAGAGCTCAGGAGTGAACCCACTGGAGGGGGTGGCCGCCCCCAGTTAAGAGGCTGAGCCAAGTTCAGGGTTAAGGAAAAGTTCAAACAAAAGCCATCCTGGATGGAATAAAGCAAAATCAGTAGGGAAACTAGGAATGTATTCATTCATTTGATGCCACTGATCACAGCCTCCATGCAAAGCTCCCCTCTCACGGCGTTACTCCCATGTGTCTGGCCATGAGCATTCACTGAGCACCTACTATGCCAGATGCTGGGCTGGGCGCTGGGGATACAGTGATGGGCAAGACACGGATGCTGCTCCGGAGGAGCTCACCGTCTGGTGGAGAAGTCAGAGGTGTGAGCAACCACATTCCCAGGCAGAAAGGAGCTGTGATCGAGTTGGGAGGATCAGGGAAGCTTCCCAAAGGAGTCGGCTGGAGTGGGATAGCCATAGTGGAGAAGGGGAAGGGTCTTCGGGGCCTTCTAGTGGACCGCAGGAGTGTAGCATCCACAGGCTCTGGGCTCCCGGGAGGCTGGGACTGAATCACTCGTTGACGTGACTCAGGTGCTGATAACAGACTTAGCAAGTGGGACATATGTGGGAGGAGTGAAGCAGGAGACACAGAAACGTGGCGTGTTCCAAGGAGGAGCCCAAGCTGATGGGGTTTGAAAGGCCTCATATATGGAGAGATGTGGACAAAAAGGCAGGGCCTGGATGGCAAGGACGTTGAATGCCAAGTTCAGACCTCCAGACTTGATTGTGAAGGCAAGCAGGAGCCAGAGGGGGCGAAGCCTCGTGCAGCGCCTACTGCTCTCTGTCTGGTCAGGTGAGAGGGGTCGAGCCAGCGCACCCCAGGGCCTAGGCACTCAGCCCTTCCTGAGGGAGAAGGCAGTGGGGGTGGCCATAATGACGGCCACTCACTGTGGGCCCCAGAGCTCACACAGTGCTTCCTGCCTCCTGACACTTTCTCATCCATCATACCACTTGGTTCTCCTAGCAACCTGCGAGGTAGCGAGGACTGGATTATCCGCTTCGTTTATCAGACGAGGGAACTGAGGCCCAGGAGGGTGCAGACGCTGGGCCTCTGCTCAGAACGCAGCTTGTTCCACCCTCCTCATCAAAAAGGATATTGACTACCTTGATAACACATCACTAAGTGGAAAGGCAGCTATGGAACCATATGTACAGGTGCATTCGGATCCTGTTAAAAAAAAAAAGGTTGTTACCTAGATATGCAGAGAAAACTGTCACGGGGATGCTTCCTGTAAGGTCATCAGTGATATGTCCGAGTGGTGGGACCATGGGTTGCTGTCATTTCCTTCCATTTTCCAGTATCGCTCACAGTGTTTCTCTAATAAGCAATTATTCTTTTTATGGTCAGAATTTTTTAAGTAATGACTGCTAGAAAACAGTGCACAGGGAGTTGGGCTGGGGGCCATGGCTGTCCCTGACCACCTCTGCCGTCTCCCCTAACCAGGTGCCCACAGCCAGGTGGTCCAGGTGAACGACTCCATGTATGGCTTCATCGGCACGGACGTGGTGCTGCACTGCAGCTTTGCCAACCCGCTGCCCGGAGTCAAGATCACCCAGGTCACGTGGCAGAAGGCCACCAACGGCTCCAAGCAGAACGTGGCCATCTACAACCCCGCCATGGGCGTCTCAGTGCTGGCCCCCTACCGCGAGCGTGTGGAGTTCCTGCGGCCCTCCTTCACCGACGGCACCATCCGCCTCTCCCGCCTGGAGCTGGAGGACGAGGGCGTCTACATCTGCGAGTTTGCCACCTTCCCTGCCGGCAATCGAGAGAGCCAGCTCAATCTCACTGTGATGGGTAAGCTGACCTGACCGCGCCCCTCTGCTTGGGTGTGGCCTGTGGCCTAGGGGCTTGGCATCCTCAGTGACCCGGGATGCTCTCCTTAGGTTGGCATGCACCTATGGTCTGGGTGTGGCACTTCCAGTCCCTTCTAGTGAGACTGTCCCAGTTCACTAGGGGCTAGGCCTTAGCTGCGGACAGAACTGAGGATCAGTGTTCAGGTTGGAGCCCCACCATGGGGCACTTTCGGGGGGGCCAGGAAGCAGGCAGACATCACAGTAAGGGAAAGAGCCACTTGAGTCGTGTGCCTAGAGCATGCCAAGACTCCAGGGGGGCTGCCACTTGACAAAAGGGGCTACAAAGAGTAGAGCAGGAAGGCCGTGGGTTAGACACGAAGAGGTCCCTGTGAGAAGTGCTGGGAGCGTGTTGGTAAAGCACAGCTGAGAGGCAGGGATGCTCAGGTGACCTGAAGCAAGGCCTGGCAGGTACGTACCCTCCGGGGCCTGTGCATCTTTGATGAGGCAACAAAGCCGGACCCATGGTGCTTTCTGGTTCCCAACAGCCAAACCCACCAACTGGATAGAGGGCACCCAGGCAGTGCTTCGAGCCAAGAAGGGGCAAGATGACAAGGTCCTAGTGGCCACCTGCACCTCGGCCAATGGGAAGCCTCCCAGTGTGGTGTCCTGGGAAACACGGCTGAAGGGCGAGGCAGAGTACCAGGAGATCCGGAACCCCAATGGCACGGTGACCGTCATCAGCCGCTACCGCCTGGTGCCCAGCCGGGAAGCCCACCAGCAGTCCCTGGCCTGCATTGTCAACTACCACATGGACCGCTTCCAGGAAAGCCTCACCCTCAACGTGCAGTGTGAGCGGAGCAGAGTGTCGATGGGCAGGGCTGGGCCTCCTGGGGCAGGCACCACTGTCCCCATCCTCACCAGTACCTCCTCCTTTGCTTCTCACCTCTTGTCACTCTCCCCACCCATTCTGTCCCTCACCCCCTTATCTTTCCTCCTCCCCTCTTTTCCTTCCTCCTCCCTTTCTCTTTCCGAGGGTACTTTGTCCAACCCTCCTCTCTTCCCCCATCTCCTCCCTTTGCCCATCCTCTCTCTCCTCCTCCCTCATTCCCCTGCTGCTTCTGCTCTGAGGGTCCATGACCTCCACCCTTCCTGTCACTCCTCCCCCTCTTCCAGCTATTTCCATGTCACTGTCCCTTCCAGCCTTTCCCCATCTGAAGCTCCCAAGTCCTGCTCTCCTGACCTTACCCTTTTCAAACATTATTTCTTGCCCCACAGATGAGCCTGAGGTGACCATCGAGGGGTTTGATGGGAACTGGTACCTGCAGAGGATGGATGTTAAGCTCACGTGCAAAGCTGATGCCAACCCCCCAGCCACCGAGTACCACTGGACCACGTAAGTGCTGCGGGGCTGGCTGGTCACCTTGCAAGGTACCTTGCTAGTTACAGGGAGGCCCACCCACCCCACCTCTAGGAGCCTTAGGCAGGGAGGAGACAAGGGTCTAGGCTCAGATTTCTCAGTGAGAAGGGGACATGGCACAAGAGACCCCCCCACACACACACACATACCCCCATGTTTGACAGCATCAGGGTCAGTGGAACAAACCATTCTGCCAGCGGGGGCTCCCCTCATGATCTGCCTTCCTTCTCCTCCCTAATAAAGAATTTTGTCATTCTTTGGTGATTCAGTCTGAATCACTCCCACCCCAGCCCCCAGTATTTATTTTTATCAAGGTGTCCCCAGGGAAGCTGGCTTTCTGGAGCATCCTAGATCTTTCTTTGTTCCTACTCCTTCTCTCTAGCACCCCCAGATTCTCAGGGAGGAGGCAGCAGTCAGCTAGAATGCATGTTCATGGAGTGCTCACCCCATTTCTCATTATCCCATTCTTGGCTCCCAGTCTTCCAGCCTGGACCTCAGAGGGTCCAGTCTCCCCCTCCAGCCAGCTCTGATGGCCTGAGCCAAGGTTATTCCTAGAGAAGAGCTAGATGGAGCACACAGAAAGATGGGCGTGGGGAAGCCAAGAAGCAGGTTGACATGAGTGGCAGAAGACAGCTGCCTCGACTGTGTCTACATTCCTTTTCCAGGAAGTAGAGGGCACAGGCACACCCTAGCTATTTGTTACCATCCATTTCCTGAAACAAGGCGTGTTTGCAAAAGTGCGAGAGGGCAGGGCCTGCTTCCCAATATCAGCTCTGTGGACCAAGGAGCTGCTAGGTCCAACAGAATAATAGCTTTGTGGCATCGAGGATCAGGAAGCAGGAAGAGGGTCTCCTGTGTTCTAGGATGTCCTCCCACACAAAAAAGGCCTGTGACATGCCCAGCAAGAAAATGAGACAGTGAAATGGAACCCAGTTACTAAACATGGGTCACATCTCCTTACTTGAGTAGCTTGTTAAATTCCAGGCCATGACCCCAGTGATGCAGCTTCAATAGATCTGGGGTTAGGACCCCTGATTATTAACTCATTACCTGGGAAACCAAGGACCAACTGCCAGGAACCATGACTAGTAGAAAGAGCACTGTGCCAGGAGTCCAAAGATCTGGCTAGACCTCCACTTGTCACTGACTGTGTTTCCCTGGCCTTGAACCTCATTTCTCATCTGTTAAGTGGGGCCAGAATCTACCTGTCCTGTCTACATCTCAGTACTGTGATGATCAAATATGAAACACTCAGTAATACAAAACTGCCAAATGCAAGAGATTATTGTTGTTTCATTGTTTTTGCTACTTCCAAGACCGACCCTGCCTATTAACTCAGCCAGAGGGCTAGAGGACTTGGAGTCGGGTGGGTAACACAGGGGCAGCTTCTTGGGTCTAGAGAGTCATAACCCTCTGCCTTTTCTCCCAATGCCCGCAGGCTGAATGGCTCCCTCCCCAAGGGCGTGGAGGCCCAGAACAGAACTCTCTTCTTCAGAGGACCGATCAACTACAGCCTGGCAGGAACCTACATCTGTGAGGCCACCAACCCCATCGGCACCCGCTCAGGCCAGGTGGAGGTCAATGTCACAGGTAGGAAGCTGCACCCCTCCCTGCCTCTCCCCACCCACCACCTTCTCCGCCGCCAGCGTCCCCCACCTGTGGGTTGTGTCACTGTAGGAAGTCTGCGTCTCTTCCTGCTTCTCTGGTTCTCCCTTGAGCTCTGGCCGTTGGTCTTGCTTTGCTGTTTCTCTTTCCTGTGTTAAGTCTGTGTGTGAGACAGGATGACCCCCGATCCGAGAGGGGCAGGAGGGAGGCTCCAGGAGGGAGGAAGTCAGTTCTGTCATCTATAGCAGTGCTGTTGGGGGTGGGGGGTGGTTAGAGCCCACCCGTGGGTCTGCCTCCAGAGCACACAGTGGGATGCCGACTTGGTGGGGTGGGCTTGCAAGAGGCACTCATCTCCCCCCAGCACTGCTCCCGCAGGAAACTCGCATGGGCTGGAGGGCGAGGCTTACCTCAAGAAGGATACCGGAGGGGAAGCCAGGATAGAGCCAAGCCATGGTGGTGTGTGTGCCCTGCCACTGAATTGCTGTTCTCCCTGCACTTTCCCCTGTCAGTGCAGATGGGAGGCAGATGCAGCCACCTGACCCCTCAGGCAAAGGGAGACCAGGGGTGGGATGTTCTGGGGGAGACATCGCATGGGACGTGAAAGGAGTGTGGGTCCCAACGTCAGACAGTTGGGACCCTGGACAAGCCCTCATCTGTAAAATGGGGATAGCATGACATGCCTTGAAGGTTGTTGTTAAAATTTACATAATGTAGGCCAAGTAGCTAGCACAGACCAGTCTGTCCATAAATGGCCCACATTCTGTGATTACTATGTTGACTCTGTCATTATCATTATTAATGGAAAGATCAAACCAGGCCAATAGAGGGGTAAATTACCATCACAACTTCACAACTGGGGTGTGTTTAACCCTGAACCTGAGCTAGTTGCAGGGTGAGAAAGTGACTGAAAGAACCTCCTAAGACAGGAAGTGATGTCATCCTGCTGCTACTGAGATGGACAGGAAGTGACATCAAAGGGTGTGTGTCATGCACAGAAAGTGACCCCAAGGAG